AGCTGGGTTTACCATACAAAGTAAAACAGTGTCGCAGGCATTGTGAAAAAATAGTAACATAAATGTACCCACAGCTCCCCCCCCCCCTCCTACGAAACAGTTGCCTTCTTGTCAGCGAGGCAGATGTTCAAATGTTCTGGTCCAAATAAGCAGAACTAAAAGCTCCATAAGCTTTGTTCCTGGATGTCTGCGTGTGACTGAGTTGTCTGAACAACTTAAGAGACTCACAATGGCTGATAGAAGAAACTAGTTAATAGCTCTGGGTTGAAACCCACAGGCTAATGAGGCTTTGACCTCGAAACCCTAAAAGGTCAGGCTGTTAAAGCTGAGTTCTGTCCTAAACTGATCCAGCTCCATCACCGATGAAGTCTGCTTCCTAGTGGAAATGAGCTTCGATTTTCTTTCCCCTGGCGAGAACGCGCAGCTCTGCAGTCACTATGGAGACTATTGCTACGCCTCAGCCACCTCCGCCACTCGCTCCCACCCGCTGCAGCCGCCGGCAACGCGGCTCTGAATTTCCACGATACCGTTTCCATTTTCTCCGTTTATGGCCTCGGCAGCACTTACTTTGATGCTCCCTCTGCCGGCGTGTAAATAAATAAATCACACCGAGCGAGCGTACATAAATTAGCATGCTGCGACAGGGGGCTTCTATTTTTGGAGCCGCTTCATTGTAAATGCGCGCTCTCCATGTTTCGGATCCGCTCAGCGGGCCGTGTCCAGACAGTTTTGTCAGAACATGTGGGAGAAGTGCTGTGACCGTTTTATAAAGTGTCAGAGTCGGCTCCGCGTATTTCAGCTCCACTGAACAGTTCATGCACGGGGAGTTGACCTCTCTAATTCAACCACAAATAAGAAAAAAAATAGATTCACTCAGTGGTTCGAGATTCTCACATTGAGTAAAAATACAAGTATACCAACAGAAAAATAATAATAAAAAGAACTTCTAAGTGTTTTAATTTTCAACAGAAAAGAGATTATATATACCTCGGTGTATCGGGGTTTACATTTTTATGGCACCATTTACGATAAACTAAATTTGAGCAGAGTACCAGATGAGGGTTATGTTTTGCTACATGGAAGACAGCCAAATTTGTCTTTCCAAGCTTGCATTCTCTCAACACCAGAATTGAGCAGCAACAGGTGTGGGAGGGTCAGTGTTGCATTCCTGTATTCTCCATTGAGCCAAAAAAACAACAACAACAAAAAAAAAACAACTCTCTGGGATCTACTTAAAAGGCACTCTAAAGTAAGTTACAAGACCAAAATAAAACCTTCATGTGTGGAGAATCGAGCGAAAAGTTACTTTTTTTTTGCATTTCTTTACATATATTGTCAGCATTTAGACTGGAAAAAGGAAGGAAGCAAGACAGGCTGCAAACGTCCACAGGTCAGGAGTCCCATTTTGGACACCTATGTCCAAACAGTGAATATGCGGTGACGGCTCTAATGCCGTCACCGCATGTGCCAAGTATTCACATCAATCAAGATAGGACAGGAAAACAATGTAATGTGTCGAGGGTCGTTATTTTCATGACATCAGGAAAACTGATACAAAACGGAAAGTCTGCTGCTATCAATTCAACCCCTTCAGTCAGGCGGTTTTTGCAGCAGCCGTTTGGTTAGCGACATGAGGAATATCCTGCTGTCTGGCCTGCAAACCACAGAGCTAATCTTAGTTGTGACTTCAGTTCTGCCTCCCCTGAAGTTTCATTCTCGGGATGCCACAGGAAGGCAGAGCCCAGGAGGAGACGCAGCACACCAAGGCCGGGTTACTTATCAGATTTTCCTCCAACGCAGCGAGCGACGCACAAGACGGTTAACGCAAAAACCATCCCAGGGCAACTGATTGGAGTTAAAAATCTGGGTTTAATTGCAAACCTAACACTTCATTTCCTGTTGTCTCGAGCTCCCCGCTCTCTCTGTGTTTAACAAACTCGGCGATTGGGGTTGAACTCCTGACCCTTAAATTTTACATTCCAACTAAGCAAAAAATAAATAAATAAAAAAAAAAGAGAAAAATAAATTGCAAATGGCACAGCAAAACATCAGAGAAGCGAGCAGCTCAGAATTATGATGCAATCAGAGGACAAGTTCTTTTAGATGGCTGCTGGAGCCCAGAGTGTTTTGGTGTGTGTGTGTGTGAACTCAAACAAAAGAGTGTGCTGCAATGTGTGCAATGAGCCCACATGGCCAGTGGCATGACTGGATGCAAACAATCCCTCACCATAGCAACCCGGCTCCGGCTTTGTCCAAGCTTTGTGCACAGACGACCGGACTGACCGGAGGGGACGGACTGGGGAAAGGAGGCCAAACAATCTGCAACAATTAAGAAGCGAGCGGCACTTTCCCGTTGCTTCCTCTTTGTGTCCCCTTCGACGAGGGTACGGGAAAGAACGGAGGTGTGAGCAGCAGCGGGGTTTTTCAACGTTAAGATTAGGGCGAGGTGGCTGGATTTTTTTTTTTTGTCTCCTGCTGCAACTCATGAAGCAACTATATAATCCCTCCAAAGAAGATGCTAATTACCTACTGTGGAGTAATTTGACTGGCGTATCAGTCCTGTATCACGTTTTCTATTTGTAAAGGGTTACGAAGGTCGACTTCGCTGCCTGGACTCCAACTCTGATTGATCACTCTGTCAAACTCGTGGAAATTGAATCCCATTCATTCATTCATTCATCCTGTCTAATCCTTACGGGGTGAAGGGTGTATCCCCGGTGCTCAACATCCACTCATGTTGTTGACCTAATTAGCTTTCAGGATTAGCAGATGCTCCAAAACCCCGGCGACTGTAATCAGAACTGGCAAGTTTTGAGATCGATCAGGTGGATCAGTGAAAATGTGATCTCACTTAAAAAAAAAAAATAAAAACAAAATGAAATCGCAAAAGGTTAAACCTAAACCTGACGGCAATTGTGCAGCCAACTAACCCAACTTAAGCCTTCTTTAACCTTAACAGTACAGGGAAGAGCTGAAGTTCCTGTTCAGAGCCACGCTAGCGTCGCACGGGTAAAATGGCAGCCAGAAACGCTAATGTCAGCAGGTGTTTCCTATACGAGGAAATTCAATTAGATATGGACCCTTGTTCAGAGACATTATGTCACTTTCCTTGATGGAGTGTCCTGGACTCAGTGGTCCCTTCTCATACAGTAATACACTGATGACTTTGTGCTTTAGAGTTGGCAAGTTGCCTCCTTCTACTGTAGTATCCTGTTAAGTCTACTGCAATCTTTAAATTATCTCCGCTCAGTGAGGCGTTTTCCTCTCTCTGGTTTAGTTTGTTAAAAAAAAAAAAAAAAAAAAAAAAAAAAAAAAAAAAAATTGTCAACAGCTGGAGACCATGACACGAGCACAGGCTTGGACAAATATGCCTCAGAGGTGCTGAATGAAAGGTTTCAGGAGGTCATCGGCTTGGAAAGTGCTGCATTCAGCCGCCGTCAGTCAGCTGTGAAACACAACGTGTGTGATTTTAACTAGGACGGCACACGAGGGCCGCGTTTCCTGTGCTACTGGAAAGACGTCACGATCGCCACGTTGGAGCGACGAAACCGCTGCCATGCAACCTCAAAAGTTAAAACTAATCAGGTTGATGAAGACAATAAGCCTGTAAAGTCTGGCGGCTTAGCCGACCACGTGATGAGAGGGGGTGGGCGGGGGGAGAGTCTGCTGAAAGACAAAGATTTACTCCAGTAATTCTGTTAAGACTTTTTTCCACTGCATTAGCCCAAATCGTACAGGCAAAGACAGGACGGATGATTTCTGGCTGAAAAACTGATTCGTAGCTCTGAATTACATCACCTAACAGCTGAAAGTAAATAAATAACTGGTTTAGGGTGCAAAGTGCAAGCAAACATTGCTGTGGCTAATGTTAGAGTTGTAGTTGATGCTATATATGGATACTGGACATTAGGCTGGCTGTTATTTCATATCATCAAAAGCTAAATGTGATATTTTAAATATGGGAAACAAGATTATGCATGTACTCTAATCAAGGTTTCCCCCCAGAAAACTTGCTAAGCCCGGTGGTTGGTTGCTAGAGCAGTCATTCATCCAACGGCCCGTCGTGATTTTGAATTAAAAAAATCTTTAAAGTCGAGAAGAAATTTGAAAATATCACTTGATAAGTCTGTATTACTGAAAGATTGATACATGAACACCAACTATAAAGGCTTAAAAAATGCAGACATTTTAAAAAGACTTAAGTAAATGAGCAATACTTAGCCTGGTGGGGGGACAAGTAAAGCCTGGTGGCCCGCCAGGCTTATAATACACTGCTCTAATCCTGCATTATGATCACAAGCTTAACACTGTGTGTCAAAGCAACCATTACCGTTTAAGGAACTAGCATTCATTACCACAACAACTGTCCTAACATTCTCCTTACGCTTAACGCAACTTCAAACTCGGGGTGCATTTTTAACCAAAGATTTAAAAAAAACAAAAAAAAAACAAAGGTTTTTGCTGCATGATCGCTTCAGATGCATCACATAGACAGCAGTACATTTGATTTAAATAACACTATGATGGTTGCACTAGCTGCTCACTTTGCTTCTGCTTTAGGCCGGCTTCGCATCAACTACTACCAAACATAGAGCCGCTGGCTGTGATAAAGTTGCCTTTACCTTCATCACACATGAGCTTCCAGCTCTGTTGTTGATCAGTAACTCAAATTAGAAAAGTTTTGGTTCGAATCACACAGTTTGGATTCATCAGCAGACCCTCTCACCCACACACGAACCAATTACTTGTGCACTCACTGCACACTCACTTCCTGACGGCTCACTGATCTGGTATGTTCTGTCCAGAACACATGGTGTCATTACTTCCTCTGACAATTTCTGCAATATTTCTCTGGACTTGTCGCTCCGACAGGAGGACCAGGAAAAACAGCAGAACAAACTATTACTATTGTTAAACTATACAACACAACCACGAACCGGTGCTGAAAGCCAGCACTGTGTCTGTTATGTTTTAACGCAGTGCGAATCTCAGCCGCATACCTCATTGAGCCGCAGCTCACCGCCTGTCGGAGGGTTTTTAAAGAAAAAAAATAAATAAAATAAAAAAGCCGTCCCGGTGCTCCGGAGGCTCGGTGTGCCTCTTCTGAGTAAAATTCACCGCTTCCTGTGGCGTGTAAAGCAGGTTGAGATCCCGGGTTCAATCCGTGCCTTTCCGCTCCTGCAGGAGTTAACGGTGCGCAGCCTCCTCCTCCTCTTCCTCCTCCTCGTCTGTGAAGTCGTGTGGATGTAAACACCAGTCCCGTCCGTCCCCTCTTCGGACATCCGACACGAAGGCTGTCCGATAAAGCATCCGCTGCTCTGCCCATCAGAGACGCGGACGCGACTGGTGAATTAACTGGGACGCCGCACCGCAAGGCATGATGGAGCCATTTGAAGCTTCACTGTGCTGGTAGTAAACACACGGATGGACCCAGATCGACTCAGGCCCCGTGCAGACAACCACGGAACAGAAAGACTTAAAGTATGGATTTCCTCGGCAACATTTTTTTTATTTTTATTTTTTTTTATTGAAAAGTTTTTAAGAAGGCAATTTAGAATAAAAAAAAGCCCATCAGTTTTGCTCTCTGTGTTTCTGGATCGATGACATCACAAGAGGCACAACTATTCAGCTGACGAAAGTTACACGCAAAGAGTGAGCTAAAACGTCAAAGACTCAGTGCTAGTTGATGGCATTGAGTTTTTTTTTTATGGTGGTACAAACACTTGTTGAAATCTGGTGAGAAATGTTTAGATGCGACAACAATCTAACGTACAAGACACCTGTAAACATATATACAAACTTCTACATTTTCTCTGTTCTCATTAAAAAAAAAAAAAAAGATAGTATCACTAACTTATGCTTGTGGATGCATTTCAGAAAGTACACATTTGATCTTACAACAGAACTTCAAATATATACGAATGTAACGAAAGAAATCGACCAGTTTCCTTTTGTAATGTTAGTTGCGTCTGTGTAGAAGACTGTTATTTTGTTTAAATATTAAGAGCTTACAACCAACTGGCTGACTTTACAGAAAAATCCAGCAGATTTAACGCATTAATCATATTTGTTATTCCGAGTCTCATGTAACATTAGAAACAATCATGTAACAAACAAAACACTTTTACAGTATTTACATATTCTCTCCATAAAATCGGTCAACTTTTTTTTTTTTTCTGGTGACAAAGACAATCAAAGACAATAATTTTGACAAAACCCAAATGGGACTTAATTTCTTAATGAAATATTTTCCATTTACAACAAACCTATTCAGCCTACATTCACATCCAGAATTATGATGGATCTCTTGGTCTATCAGATTAAGTCTCTGCCTGTCAGTTTAGATGAACAGTCATGTTTTGTTGGGCTTTGCGGTTGCGTCGTACCAGCTCCATTTTTTTTTTTGAATAATGGACTGAACAGTCCTTCATGAGATGTTCAAACCCTTAGATAATATTTTACAATCTTCATATCTTTCTCTCTGACCTGTCCATATCTGAGTCTTCATGTTGCTGCTTGTTCACCAATAGAAAATAAAAACCGCAAAATGACGGGTCGCGGCAAAATTAACGACTTCATGCAATTGGCTGTTTTGTTTTATAGCTGGGATTAAATTGTCTACATTCACTACACATTTCTGTGAAAAATGGATCCATTTGTCTTGACATTTATGAATCAGCAGCACTATAAATATACCGAGTTGAACTGAATCCATTGTTTCAAAGTGGCTTATAAACTGATACAGCATAACTTAGTCAACCTGGTTGTCAATAGCGGTAATCCTTTGCAATTTCAAAGTTTTAATTTGGAGGTTTGACCTATTCAGTGTAAGCAAACGTTATGCCAGCCAATTTAACATCAATCACCCTGAGTTTTGCTTAAAGAAAGTGCAGTTTTTCTGTATTTTTATTATTTTTTTTCCACTTGAAAATCTCCCATTTGTGTTCGTTTAAAATTCCAGTCAGCTCTGGTGCCTTCATGTCTCGCAGCATTAATCACGACGGCTGCCTGTTCTGCTGATCGGACAGAATCGGGCAACCTTCAGCTTTTAGTCCACCGTAATTTCACCTTTCCTGTTTTTTTCCAACAACTTTATTCGTTACCTGCTGTGTTTACGGCTGTTGATCTATTTAGTCTGCTGTCCAGAAGAACAAATTGATCCGTTTCCCATCAGACATCATTAGGTTTTCATAAATAAACAAAGAAAAAGAAGTAATACTGTTATTTTTCTGAGTTGCTCCAATATAAAAATGTTCATTCATTATTTTAGTACTTTTGTTTTCAGCATACGAGTCAACCTTTCCTTTTCAGGAGGTCATTTAAAAAAATGTCTCAGACTGAAGGAAAATCTGTGAGGTATCTGAAAACAGATAAAGTTACATGGAAATTTAAACAACTGTCACGCAGTTGTGACAGCATGTCTAAACAAAAGTATTCATGTGTCTAGAAGCAGAGAAATGAACATCATTAGAAATGCCAGTTTTTCACTGACTATAGTGATTCAGAAACGTTTTTTTAATTCAGTTTTTCTATTCAATTAGAGATTCTGTTTAAGTTCTGTGACTGATAAGAGGAGAAAACAGTGTAAGGAAACAGAAAATTTATTTAAAACAGTTCCATGCTGTATCAGATCCCATCAATCTGTGATTACACTAAAATAAGTTTGTACATACAAATCTGTAGTTTAGTATTCCATGTTAGCTTGGCTGTCAGGCTTTTTCTTAAAAAAACAACAAAAAAAACCAAATAATTATTTAAAAAATAACCAACAATAGTAATTTATCACCTGAAGGATTCATGAGCTATAAAGTATTTATGAGTTATTCAGAAAACGGGTTGGGGAGGTCTGCTGTTGGAGCCACTTCAAGTATTCAGTGTGTTCATTGATAGCTTAGAAAGATTTTTTTCCTGTCAGAAGTGTGGGGCAAGTTGAAATGGCAAGTATTTTATTAATAATTGTATAGTGTTCAGATGGGCATCAACCAGTCTTTTACTCCTGGGAACTAAATTGTGTCCAATACAGCAAAAATTCAGCATTAAGTAGTTAAATTTTGTCTCCCAGTTTACAGACTTTGTTGTTGTCACATTGATTAAGGCTAAAAACAAATCAGTAAACCAGTGTATGTCCGCCACCCAGTGTTTCCATTCAGCAACAAATATACCAGTTGCACCTGTGCTGCAGATATTTGGTCTTTAAAAGGTTCAGTGTGCAGGTTGGCTGAAATGCCTCAATTGGGGAGCCGCCAATAGAAGATATCTTAATAAAACAATAGTTAGATTTGAAGGGGTTCAGGTCTTTTTTTTTTATCTCTGAGGCAGAGAAGCTTTCTACCTTTTAAACACAGCTTGCATTTAAAATTTTTTGATCAAACTAATTGTACCGCTCGGTTCTACACTGGTGCTTGTGTAACTTCTGAACATTCCGTCTCTTTAAAGTCCTCATTTACATCGGAAAGCAATAACAGTTTGTCAGATTTACATCATATTAGCAGGATAAAAGGAGTACTCCTCCTTAGGTCTCAAACTCCCATTATAATCCACAAAAATCACTTTTTTTCCCCCTAACTTTGTAAGAATAAGGGCGGAACTTCATTCCAGACATTCTCAGAAAAGTACGACATTTTGATCTTTTTTTTCCCCCTCCTTCCTTTAAAAATGTGCACATTATTTTGAGCAGTTTCACCTGACTGCCGACATCCCCAACAACAAAGGCCTCACTGTAAAGTAAAAACCGTCTGCCTTTCTCCCAGCTTCCACTGAAGATCTGTGAATGAATCCTTTCTGTACGTCTGAAACATGCTTAGCCAGATTACGCGGCGGTCGGCACCAGCATGTTCCACTTTAGGACCCCAGTAGCAAACAAACCTATTCTCATGTTTCTCCACACCTGCTGCCGCTGGCTATTCTGGTGTTTTGGACATATTTTATGTCCGTAGTGGTCTAAAAATATTCTCCTGGCTTCTTCGCGGAAAGTCAGACCGGTGAAGGGACGGAACAGGCGTGACATTTTTCTGACTAATCCCATAATGCCTTTTCTATTAAAAGTTACGACAAGATGAAGCTTTTCTTGTGAAACAAGAAATTGGTCCAATTCTTACAGACTGGATGTGGAAAACAAGTAAGCTATTGATAAGGGGATTTGGCTTCTACTTAGTCTTATCCTTCGTCCGCCAAGACAGCAGTCTTTAATTCGTGGCTTTTATCGTCATAGTGGTTCTCAAAGTGAGTGAAATTGGAACTTGTAACCCGAAAAAGAAAAGAGTGCATTAGTTTATAAAACCTGGGGTTTTGTGTGGAGAAAGCATGAAAAACACCTTTTCATTAATGAATGTGCTTCTGATTCTGTTGGCGAAGCACCACTGCCCTCTGGTGGACACAGCAGAAAAAAACATTCCTCAATTGAAAATGTGTTGAACATTTTAGAAGGCAAATTTCATTTAAAGAAAGGCTATTTAATATGTCCATATTCCTATAATGTTCAGTTAACAAAACTATTCCTTCTTGCAAAACTCTACAAATTTAGATTCTTCTAATTTGCTCTTTTCAGCTCATCCCATTTCCTTCTTATTTTATTGGAGTTAAACTGAGATTACCATGCAAGAACATTGATCATTTCTGTATCGACTGAGCCATATAATTTGATCGCAATATCGCTAAAACATCCAATGACAATTTTCCATTCACTGGTTCTCTTCTTTCCAAGTTTGAAGAGCATCAAGGACAAATATTTATAACCTAAGCAAAAAGAAAGTTCAGAATTACAAGTCAAATGTTCCAAACTTGTGCTGAAAAGTAATTAGGTTCTTACCATTTAGCAGATGTTCCCAAATGAAACATTTTTCTAATCTCTTCAATAAAATAAATGCTTTTTATAGTTCTTTACTGGGGCTTCCCACGGGACATGTTTTCAACACAAACCGGCATAAAAACCCTCCTAACTAGAAACTCTCCGGTTACAAGGCGAACTCGCGTCAGTCGCCCCGTTCTGGGTAAATTCAAGTGCTGCTGGGCTTTAACTTAATGTTGGCTGGCTATAATCGATTGCCAACCTTACGAAGCTACATCTCAAAATTTTTTGATTTGTTTTCATAAATGCTCTTTAGTAAATTTACACAATTTCCAAAGGCATTCGAATGCATTCATAAATGTTTATTTTCACACAAAAAAAATTACAATTAAAAATACATTTTGGAACACTTTAAACTTCATGTATTATTCAGTAATGACATTTCTTCCCATCTACAGAATTTGTCGATTTCATTTGTTTTACTATTCTTCACAGCATTGTCACAGAAAGTGCAAAGTAATATCATTAGGTGTTGAGCTGCCTTTATACTATATATATATATATTTTTTTTTTTAAAGCTGGCATTATCTTTGCCAGAAATAATTCAAGTTTGCTAATGGAACAGTGGCTAGGAATACTTACTTCATTGTGGTTGCCTAAAAAGTGCTTTGCTATCATCTCTATGACTCCGACTAAAAAAGGCATAAATAATTTGAACATTTTATCCCATATTTCTTTGTGCACTACAACAAAAAGTAATACAAAAATAACTCCTAATGGAAAAAAATGGTGTTTTGTATATCTTATGTGGACGGGATTTCCTCATGTTTAGCTCCAGTACGGCACTGCAGAGACTTTGGTAGCAAGTTAAGAATTTTGGCGTTTTTGGTTTTATCCTGTTGAGGAAAAAAAAAAAAGAAAGAAAGAAAGAAAGGAGGACTTATTATGGCGTCTGCATCTGGAAAAGTCTACAGGGCTTTTGGAAATGCAAATTAAATTCATTTTTTTACCTCATTCTGAACACAATACCCCTTAAAGTTGTTTTTTTTTTTTCTGCAGAGCGATCTGCATTGGATACAGAGTGATGTGTGAATGGACTCACTTCTTCTAGATGTTGGTGAGAACTTCTGGGGGACAACGTGGCCCTCAGCTCCTCCACCGCCTCTTTAGCTTTACTGGATTCACGATGAAAAGTCACATATAGTCATTAATAAGGCAAAACGTGATTCTTTGTTTACTTGAGCTAGACATTGGATGTTTCACTAACCCTTCATATTTCTTCTGTAACATATCATTCACGGCCGTTTCACGGCTAATACGCTGGGCCGTCTCCACGTTGTTCTTGCTCAGGTTTACGAGGATCCGACACAGAATCGGCATCAGCTCAGCAGATTCTTCTGCGCCGATGTCCAAAAGGTGTAAAAGGGATTTTGTGGTTTCGGTCGTCACAAAATTTTCAACTGCGAAAGTGAAAAGATAAGATGAATAAAAAAATCCCAGTAATGTGTCACTTTTATGAAAGTACAGTAATAACTTTTCAAACCCCTTAGATTTCATTGAACATCTGTAATATGTTACAACAAACTTATTTTATTTGGGTTCTATGACAGATTAGCAGAAAGGATCATAGAACAAAGCGGGCTAAACACTTTTCAGATTTTGGTTTTTTTCTCCCCCCTTCTTCACGATCATGCAGTTCTCTGTTGCATTAAAAATCCAACAAAGCACAAATTACAAATTACACAAAGTTTTCTTGCTTTTTAATTCAAGGGGTTTGAAAATAACTAGAAGGTTCGGAAAAGTTTCTTTTTTTTTTCCAATGTTCTGGAAGATTGAAGTTCAAAAGTGAGGAGTGTGGAGTTACAGATGGAGGGGTGAAGCTCTGGAAAGCGGGAGAGGTTCCTCATCAGAAGCAAGGCTGGTTTCTTCAGCGTAATGTTCTTTTCTAAAACGGCTGTAATTTTCCGAGGTCCTTTTTCCTCCGCGATAATTCGGGCGACGGACTCGGAGATCTGTCAGGTGTCAAAAAAAGTATTTTAAAAATATCTCCATCTACAGGTAAAAACGTAAAGCAGCAACAAGGTTTCCTAATTAGCCAAAAAGTTAAAAAGCACAGAAACAAAACAAACGTTTGCTTTTCCATTTAAATACTTGTTACAAGATTTATCATTTAAAGAAATATAACTAAAATGTAAAAAGCACAATCTGTGCAGCGAAGTGTCATTTTTCCTACCACAAATTGGAAGTCTTAGCAGTCAACTCTGTCTCTTTTTACCTCTCCCTTCCTCACTGTGAGGTTCTGCAGCGCCCCCATGGCGGCCTGCAGCGTCATTTTGTTTGTGCTGCAGGCCAACAGCGACAGGTACGCCCGTACAAGTTGCCCGCTCCACAGCCACTTAACTCCAAGTGGGTCTTCATTATTCTGCAGGAGGCACATCATCTCTGCTTCCTCTTTGTCCTTTGCATCCTGGGAGGAAATGATTTAGAGGTGCAGAGGTCAGGCAGGTGATGGGTGTTCAGTGGGGTCACAAACAGCAGCTGAGCCAAGTTTAACATTATTTAGCCTCTTTCTTGTTATTTTGGTTTGATCCAAAACCAGGAGATGCAACCAAATATTTACCAGTGCGACTTTAAGCCATGTGTTTCAATGTGTTGCCGCCTTCACTGCATTTCACAATCTTTTATTATAAATGACTGTGACTTTATAAACATTTGCTTAAGAACTAAGTATCTTTCTTTTCCTCTCACACACACACAAAAAAGAAATTTATTCAAAAGATAAAGTATGAAGTTTATTCTCGTAATGACTTTATGCAAAAGAAATTCAATAGAAATACCAGTTCTTTTGCGTTTTCTGAAGGCAGCTGGTTATGTTGAACTCCGTAGTACACGTGAAAAAATGCAAACCACACTACTGATTTTATTAGTAAAAATCTTTAGAAATTATGCGGATTTAAAAAAAAAAAAAATAAAATAAAATCGGTTTTTAATAGTGAAGTGATTACCTCTTCAAGGTTGGCACGGCGACGAGGAAAACAGCTGCAAGTCGTCTCTTTGGGAGTCGTATTTTTTTGAGTCTCTTCCGTATTTTTGGTGGTTTGGCGGATCCAGTCTTCCTCAGCTTCATAGGTCAAGTTTTGAAGGATGCAGACGCAGTTTTCTGTGAGCTTCAAAAAGAGAGAGCGATAAATATGGATATCTAATAATAATAATAATAATAATAAACTTGAACAAAAACCTCTGTCAAGCAGGAATCTGAATGAACCCAAACCTCTAAAATTGTGGACCGGGCCCGGCTGTGGGGATTGCAAAACTATTTTACAAACTATTTTGGTACAAACGTTTTGCTGCAGGTTTTGCTGCATGCCTCTTACAAAACTCAAACAGGTTTTCTTACAGGACTGATCTGGCTTCCTGACAATAACCAACTTTTTCTCTCAAGAAAAACAAAAACATCCCATTGGCTTCATGGCAGCCATGATGCCAATGGGATGTTTTCATCAAATCACACTTTACTGATTTTAAAGTGTGATTTTTTTTTTCTTGGGGTTTTTGTCAAATCCCAAGAAAAAACAAAAAAAAAAACAAAAAAAAATAATTATAGCAAAATCTAGACTTATTTCATGTGACTGAGGTCAAACTCAGTATATAGCTTTCTGTGTCTCTGACATGACCTTTGAAAAACTCCCAGCCTAATATATTGTTTAGGTGAATCAGAGCAAGAGAATTTATTTCACAAAAGATTCAAAAGTCATCTTTTCCTCCCTTTTTCTTCACAATTAAGCTCCACTTTGCATTTTGTTCTGATCTCATGTTTTAGATCTACACACTGACATTTGTATTTTAGACAATAAAAAAAAAAAAAAAAAAAAAAAAAAAAATTTTTTTTTTTTCTTTTCCCTTTTTTTTCGGGGGTCCGTTTTGTTGGACCCTTTTGAGAAAAGGAAAC